TTTTTTTTTTTTTTTTTGGTTGTAGTTGTCGTTGTTTGGCAGGCCCAGGTCAAGTACAAACCTGCCAGCTCCAGCATAAGTGGCTGGCACCCTAGCCACTGAGCTACAGGCAGCGAGCCAATACACATGATTTCAGACCCTACCTCCTACCATTTAAGTTTGTGACATTCAGCAAGTCATTTCATCTAGGAGCTTCCATTCTCTCATTTATGAATCAGTACTAATAGTATTTACCTCACAGGATTGTTGTGAGAATTAAAAGATACTGTATGTTAAATGGTTAACGCTGTCATATTATGGACTTGTAATATTATTTCCTGCTTTTTTACCTTGAGTTGCACAACTAGTAATTGATGGAGCCTTTAGCCCTTGTTTGTTCTTCAAGTCTGTCTTTAAATATCCTTTCCCCAGGGGAATCTCTGGCTCCCTTGTGGTAGGATAGGTTTCTAGATATCTTCTGCATACACTTTACCTTCAAAACATTGTCCCACTTAGAATTATTTAAATATTTGTCTAATGTCTTTCTTCCTTGTAAACTGTCCAGAAGGCCAGAAATCAAGTCTCTTTTATGCACCACTCTTTCCTAGCATCTAGCATGTGCCTGACACATAGTAGACAATAAAAATGTATTCACCTAGAATCCAAGTGTCCGATTTGCTAGTTTACTATTCTTTCATTATGAAATTGCTTCTATAATAACCATGTAAGTAAAAGGTAATTATCAATATGCTAAAATATAAGACCATTTTTGAAACGTGATGCATTTAGTTTGTTATGTGCCATAGACTTTGTATTTCTAATAGTCTTACCTACAGTTTCATTGTGGTTGGAAACACTGCAGGTAACTATTCTATGAGATGAAATACTATCTTAAAGCTCTTATCCCGAGTTTTAAAGGGAGACTGAATTTACTTTTGTTTTCCAGATAATATAAGCAAAGAAAATTGTGCTTTTAGAAGTTCACTGATTGCCATAGTATGTGGTGTTTTATATCCCAGTGGTTTGGCTTTTTCTAAAAATGGACGTCTGGCAGTTAAGTAAGTCTGTTATTTCTTTTCTTCCTTTCTTTTTCCCTTCCTGTAATTTTATTTTAAAGTTTAGCAAACTTTTCTTATTCTTCAGCTCTCAATGACGTGTTTTAATCAAGTATAGTAGTTTGGTATTTCAAATAGCTAACTTTTAACTTTTTTGCTGTCTACGTGATAGACCTAGGATGGAGTTTATTAGCTGAGGAGAAATAACAAACTTATGATAAAATATTATCCAGGAAAAGTGATTAACTCTTTCTACTTTTTAGGTATCATACTGTCCCATTGCCACAGAAAGGAAGGGTTTTACTCCATTGGATGCTACTCTGTCAAACAGACATAAAAGCAATGGTAATTCCTCTAGTCTTTCATACAACATTTGGAGTAATGAATGGACTGCGCGATCATGCAGAGTTTGAAAAGTCACTTAAGAAAACTGTGAATAAAGATTAACCAAAGAAAAAAATGGATGCTAACTCAGCAGAAAGGCTTTTTATGATGAGGATTTGAGCATTCCTGAAAGTTAAAACTAACACTGGACAGATGATTTGTTTCTGTCCTTTCTGCCTGGCATATAGTAAATAATAACTATTCAACAATTAAGTCAATAAATGTAAGTTTCATCTTACATGTAAGATGTAAATTTTATCTCTTTTTTTTTTTCAAAATAATATGTCCATTTTGTCAGATATGTAGTATATAACAAATATTCAGTAAACATTTAGTAATTAAATAAATGTAAATGTAACAATAATGGAGGTTTCGTCTTCTTTATGTGTGGAAATGGGTTTGGGCTTCAAGGTCTGGTCTACGCAGTTATGTATTCATTGATTCATCAAACATTTATGAGCATCTGGTAAGCCTCAGGAACTGTACTACATATAATAAGAAACATTTCTTCCCCAGAAGACCTCACAGTTGAAGAATGAGAAATGTGAACATACAGTCTGCGAGAGTTTAGAGAGGTATACACATAATTCTGTGGGACTGCTGAGGGCATAATGATGTACTACTTAGGCAAAAGGGGAAGCTATGGGGAGAAACTAACACTTGAGCTAAATTTTGAAAGAGGAGTTACAAGTTGATATGAAAGCAAAGTGTGGAAATAACATACAGGCTATTTCTCTAAACTCTGATTCAATATATTACTATCTTAACATTTACAAATTGTCTTAACTATGTAGTTAAAACATTTATTGAGTGCCTATTTGCCACAGATTAAGATAGGCACTGGGGGTACAAAGATTTACTCCCTGCGCTCAGGGAGCTTCAAATCTTAAGAAAGTTCACAGTATGCATCTTTTGATTCTTCTAAGGCATTCCTAAGCCACGTATTTATCTCAGTTCAGGAAATGAACACTGATAAGGATTAGAGAATGGAGCCTCGCATGTCATACTTATTGTCCTGTGTATATGCATTTTGAGAGTAAAGACTTGGTAATCTTGCAAATATAACAAGTTGACTTATGCTCACCTCTCCTGTCACCTGAAAGCTGAATGGATTCTTACTTTACTCCATGACTTCAAATTCTCTTCTACAATACAAAAGCTGGCAAGGCAATATTTACCTTTAGCATTAGAAAGCAATACTTGCCAGAGTGACCACAGGAGACCTGAAAGGAGAAATTAGGGAAAACTTGGTCTTGTGGGCCCACACCCAAAGGTACAGCTAGATAAATCACTGAAGAAAGGCAACCAGGTCCTGAAGTTCAGATTGCAAAGTGCAGCCGGGACCTTGAATCAACGTTCAAATCCTGCCTTCCCTACTTAGCAACACAAGTGACTTCAGCTCTGCACCTCAGTTTCTTTATTTGTAAAGTGAGGAATAAAAATTGTACTCATCCTCATGGAATTGTAAAACTTAAATGAATTAATATATGTAAATCAAAACAGTGCCCAACTCACAGGCAGTCTATATATATTTGTTGCTATCTTAGTCTGTTTGGGCTAGTGTAACCAAATACCTTAGATTAGGTAGCTTGTAAACAACAGAAATTTAATTTCTCATGGTTGAGGAGACTAGGAAGTTCAAGATGAAGGAACAAGCATATTTTGTATCTGATGAGGGCCTGCTTTCTGATTCATAGATAATGCCTTCTTGCTGTGTCCTCACATGATGAAAGGGGCAAAAGAGAGCTTGGTAACCTCTTTTTTAATGGCACTAACCCAAACGATGAGGTGTCTGCCTAATCTCTTCTCAAGACCCCACCACCTAATGCCATCACATTGGGAATCAGAATTTCAAAATATGAATTTTCAGGGAAACAAACATTCAGCGCATAGTAGGTGCCATTGTTACAGTTATTGTTGCTATTAATGCATATAATCTATCATGATCCTTTTCCTAGTCTGTAGTTATCAGTTTAAATTTTAGGTAAGGAAGATTAGAAACCCAATAAGGAGAATTCAGAAGATATCTTGTATTTGAATAAACATGTATTTATATTTATTAAGCTAATGTTGAGTCATCATATATTATATGAAAGACATCGAATACCATACTAAACATGTTTCTTCTGAAACATTAATAATTGCTTTGTAATGTGGTTACAAAGATTAAAATACATAAAACCACACCGTACCATACCTGGTGTGCAGAAATTGCTCAATAAGTGTATTTACTTACCCTGATACACAGAGCAACACAGAATAAGAATGACAGCAGTATTCCCATCAGTAAAAATAACTAAGATATGAGCCTTCTTATGTTAACTTCACTTCAATCTTGCATCTTCATTTCCCCCGACTTCCTTTGCCATGTAATTTCCCCCTACTTTGCTGTTGTATTGCACTGTAGTATAGTATATTGATTTTCTGCCTGCTTTTATACAATCATTTTATCTCAAATTAACTATCCATTATTTGAATTCCCAAGTTTAAGCAATAATATAATAATGAAGAAATAGTATTATATAGATAAGGTTAAATTTCAAAGTTTTGTTCACCCACCTTCCTGAGTTTCATTTAAAAAGAAAAAATTCTTCTAGGCTGTGCCTGTGGTTCAAAGGAGTAGGGCACTGGCCCCATATGCCAAAGGTGGTGGGTTCAAACCCAACCCTGGCCAAAAACAGCAAAAAAAAAAAAATTTTTCCTCTAAAAATAACCCATATTCCCCTAGTTCAGTCACCCTATTGCTATAAACACAGACACACAAAGATTAACATGAATAATTGACTCTTGGTAGCTCTGAATTCTACCAGCTTTTTTACTTATGTGTCATAATGTAATGAGAAAGGAGCAGAGATCCTATGAGGAAAAAATGATAGCCAAAAGCACACAAATTCAAGAAGTCAAAGAAATCCAACTAGGATAAATATAAAAAAGACCTACATTAGACACTCAAACTATCAAAAATCACAGACAGAGAGGATCTTGAAATCAGCACAAAAAAAGCAACCCATCAAGTATAAGGAAGCTATATAGATTACCACCAGACTTCTCAGCATAAACCTTGTAGTCTATAAGGAAGTGAGATAATATGTTTAAATATTGGGGGGAGCCAACCAATAATACTATATCCTGCAAAATTGTACTTGACAAATGAAAATAAATCAGGACATTTTTAGATAAGCAAAAGTTGAGGGAGTTCAAGAAATGCCAAAAGGAATTCTTCAAGTTGAAGAGAAAGGATAATACACAAAACACAAAATACAGAAATATAAAACTCCCTAATAAAAATAAATACCTATATAGACAAATATACAATTCTTTAGTGTGGCAATACAGATGTGTAAATCACTTTTAAATTTGTTACATAATTTTAAAAACAGAAGTATAAAATGTAATTATAAATCTAAACTAATGGATGTACAATATAAAAACAGCCAATATCTGCCATCAATAAGATAAAGTGAAGAGAACAGAGATGTAAAGAAGTAGAGTCTTCATACACAATTAAGGTTAAGTTGTTATCAGTTTAAAACTGTTGTAACTTTAAGACTTTTTGTGTGTGTGCATATGTTTTTTTGGTTTGTTTGTTTTGTTTAGCAGGCCCTGGCAGAGTTCAAACACACCAGCCCTGGAGCATGTGGCCAGTGCCCTAACCACTGGGCAATAGGCAGCCAGCCTATATAAGACTTTCTTATATAATTGCAATGATAAACACAAAGAAAATATCTACAGAATATACTTTAAAAATGAAAATGAGATATATATCACTATGAAAAATCAGCAAAGGTGAAACAAAAAAGCTAAAGACATAGAGAAAAAATTAACAAAATAGCAATGGTAAATCCTTCTCTATCAGTAAGTACTTTAAATGTAAACGGATAAAATATCAATTAAAAGACATAGTTTGAATGGACAAGAAAATAAAATCCAAATATGTGCTGTCTATAAGAGATTAGATTTAGATCTAAGGACAACCTTAGGCTAAAAGTAAAAATATAGAATAAGATATTCCACACAAATAGGAAACTTGAGTAGGGTGGCCAAACTTATATCAGACAAAATAGACATTAAGACAAAAACTGTCACAAGAGGCAGAGAAGGGCATTATATAATGATGAAAATGTAAATTCATTAAGAATTATAAATATATATAATCACTTAATTATAAATATATAATCACTCTATAATTGCAATTATAAATATATATAACTGCTATAATTATATATATAAAATTTATAATCGTTTAAGCCCAAGAGTTTGAGGTTGCTGTGCATTTTTATATATTAGAGTTCAAAAACATTATGAAGCAAACACTGACTGAACTGAAGGGAGAAATAGATTACCCAATAATAGCAAGAGACTTATATCTCACTTTCAGTTATAGATAGAACAATCAAACATATGATCAATAAGGAAACAGAAGATTTAGACAACTCTATACACCAACTAGACCTAACAAATCATACAGAACATTCCACCAAGAGCAGCAGAATACAGAGTATTCTCAGGTACACACGAAACATTTTCCAATATAGAGTGCATGTTAGGTTGTAAAATAAGTCTTTAAAAATTTGGGAAAATTAAAATTATTAAGAAGATTGAAATGCCTCTCTGAAATCAATAGAATGAAAATAGAAATTAATATGAGAAGATAATAGGAAAATCCACAAATATGGCTACGCTCCCATTGCTCAGTGGTTAGGGCACCAGCCACATACACCAGCCCAGGCCAGATAAAACAACAATGACAACTGCAACAAAAAAATAGCCAGGCATTGTGGTAGGTGCCTGTAGTCCTAGCCACTAAGGAGGCTGAGGCAAAAGAATTGCTTGAGCCCAAGAATTTGAGGTTGCTGTGAGCCGTGATGCCATAGCACTCTACCGAGGGTGACAGAATGAGACTCTGTCTCAAAAAAAAAAAAAAAAAACCCACAAATATGTTAAAATTAGACAATGCATTTTTAAAAGACCAGTGTATCGAAGAAGAAATCACAAAATAATTTAGAAAATAGCTGAAGACAAAAATGAATCACAATATACTAAAATTTATGGGATACAGTGAAACAATACTAAGAAAAAACTTTATAGTGATAAATGATCAAATTAATAAATAAGAAAATCTCAAAACTACAATCTAAATGTATACCTTGAGGAACTAAAAATAATAATAAAAAGACTAATAAACCATGCCCAAGGTCAGTAGAAAGAAGAAAGTATTAAGAATAGATCAGAGATAAATGGAATAGAAAACAGAAAAAAA